TATTGACCAAGGAATAATAATAATAATAATAATAATAATAATAATAATAATAATAATAATAATAATAATAGGCTAAAAATGCCAAAGCCAAACATCTGGCTGACTGGGCCACCAACCATAATATAATAATAGTTTACCCTGTTTCTACCCCCTCCCAGATTTTCCACATGCAGAGAAAGTCTCACATCATCCGCCCCCCCTTCCATAGGAGGGACTGGATGGGGAGGGTAGAATTGCCGTACGTCTCTCAAGTTTTTCTGATTCATCCTCGATTGACCAGAGTTTACAAACGGAGCCTCTGGGAATCCACAGAGATGGTAAAGCCAAGAAGAATAAAAGCTGACTCACGGGGAAAGGATTTGGGGAGGCAAAACAGGGAAGGAAAAACTGGAGCCGGGAAAGCTCAGTCTGGGTAGATGATGAATCCAGAGAACGTGCTGTACTTGTTGGTGTTCCCACCATGAACCTTCCCGCCATCCAGCTTGATGAAGACTTCATCACCTACATCCAGGTGCAGGATCACGCTGTTGCTGGCATAGTCGTAGTTCTGGTCAGCATCTTGTGCAATTGCACTGGCACGGACCTGGTTAAAGAAACAACAATGGAGGTTCTGTCTCGTCTGCTTTCAGAAACAATGAGAACCCAACAGTTAGGTAGAACCTCTAGTCTCACCTCCCCAGATGAGGTGGGTTGAATGACAAAAGGCAAAAGGGACAAAGTGTGTCCAGCCCACGACCCAGGACCACAACTGAGCTCAAAATTTCCGCTGCTAAACCAGATAGCTGTGAAGGGAGTTTTGCTCCATTTTATGACCACCGTTGTTAAGTGAATCACTGCAACGGTTAAGTTAGTTACACGGTGGTTAAGGGACTCTGACCTTCCTCATTGACTTTGCCAGTCAGAAGGTCACCCAAGGTGATCGGATGACACTGCAACCATCTTAAACATATGTCAGTTGCCAGGTGCCCAAATTTTGATCACATGACCATGGGAATGCTGCAAAGGTCACAATTATGAAAAAGGGTCGCTGCTGCTTGGCCACCGCCATTTTGGATTTTAGTGATTGCGCATGTGTGGTTAACTGTAAATTGTTCTGCACATGCGCACAGAACAATTTACATTGAACAGTGCACATTGCACATAGGTTGCAAACCGGCAGTAACACCGGCAGCAACCCACCCTTGGTGGTAACCTCTGTCCCCCCTCCCCCCAAAACACCTCAATATAGCAAATCCTGTCTATGTTGCCACCAAATTGTAATTTAATATATATATATCAGGGGTGGGTTCCTGCCAGTTCTAATCTCTTCTATAGAAGAGGTTTCACAAATCTACCATGCCGTTCAGACCCAGTTCCAACTCGCTCCCCCTGCCCATCCGCACCATGCTTGCCCTGCCCGCTGCTCACTGATTGGCTGGCTCACCAAACCCCCCGCCCGCCTCTAAGAGTCCTATCTAAACCTTAAAGTCTTAAAACTGTCAAGTTTGAACACCCCTGGGGTT